CTTGGGTCGGATTGGCAGGCAACAACAGCGGACCGACGCGCGCCGTTGTTGCCTGTCAATCCGGTCCAAGCTGTGTGGAGTAGCAGGCCCGCGATGTCTGACCACTGCATATTTATTCGCTCATTTATTTAATAATTTTTCTCAAAACTTTACGTAGAAGATTTCTATTTTTTCACGTTCGTTGTACTCATCTCGATGTTTTTTATATTTTCTATAAAGTTTGTAAGTTTATAATTGCCCATTCTGTATATGGGCGTGTGTACGTCTCGAAAATAATTCATGAATATGAAAATATTAAATAATAGAAAAAAATTCATGAAAATCTGAAAATTTTCCCGATTATTCGTGCTTTTTACTCGCCATCTTGGATCCGCCATTTTGAAATTCTCTAATATGAATTAGTTGTCAGCAAATATCCTAAAATCAGTACCCTGGATAGTAAATTGATGCTAAATACTAGGATTTTGCGAAGTTATTCTAAAAATACATTATTTTTTAAGTTTTTTTCGCTCAAACCGTCATTTTGAGGCAGCCGTCTTGAATTCACATTTTCACCAATGCATACCTTGAAAGTTCAACATTTTTTAGACAAGATGTGACACTTGTATCTGTATCAAAGTAATATTTTTATATGAAATCAAGCTTATAAAAAATAAAATTGTCGATTTTTCACGACTTTTTTCCAAAAATTCCACCAAAATTTATTAAATTAATAAAAGTTAGGGCACTATTATAGTAGTATATTCTTGATAGTAAATAAAGAAAAAAGGTTAATACTATTTTTTTTCGACGAATTATTAGCGAGATATCGCAAGGTAAATGTGGGAAATGTTACTAAGTTTTCCTTAAATATCTCAAAATATATTAAGCAAATAAAAAATGTTTCAGACAAAAGTTGTTTAAATTAATTGGTAGAAAAAAGTGATATAATAAAAAGCTGTGATTTCTATTAATGAAAATTGATAATCAGTGAATATCTCGAAAGTGGTGCCATCTATAAACAAACTGCTATCGCTGTCCTATGTCCCCGTTCAAGCTAAACAACTTTTGTCTTAAGCATTTTTCGATTTAACGCAGTGTTTCTGAGATGTTTGAGTGGATCCTTTAAAACGAGACACCCTGACACAGGATGTCCCATTTTAATGTCCCACCCCAAAAAACTCTTCAGTATTGAGATTTCAAGGAAAATGATCTCAATAAAAGTTGTCGGAATTTAAGTAAGCTACCTTATGATGACCTTGACTTTAACATTGACCTCTATTTTCAAGGTCATTTGAAGGTCAACTTTTTTTTGGTGACGCAGGGGAAATCTATCATGGATACCCCCGACCCCTTTGGGGGGGTTGGGGGTTGTGTCAGACTCTTACTGACTAAAACCCCTGCGGGATGCCTACCTGTCGGACCGAGTGGAGAAGAGTCAGGGGAACTACTTCCATATTCCCTCCCCAACCCCTCGGCCCCAGAGCTCGTTGCCGAGCCCCCCGCCATCCTTTACCGCGCCCTGTTCCGCAAAGGGAATCCAGGGCGCGGTCTAGGACCGACCGGTTGGCCTTCTGGTGTCGCCTATGGGGTGAGGGGGCATCCGCCCTCACCCCTTACCCCCCTCCCCTAAAGTCGGGGAGGTGGGGTTTTTGGGAGAGTGGGCCCTTTTTTTTTTTGACGAGGAGGAAATCCATCATGGATACCCTGACTCTCGGGGAAGGGCTAGGGTTATGCCGGACTCCTACCGGCTAAAACCTCCTCGGGTGGTGCTGCGAAGGGACTGACCTCGGGGCCCCGGAGCACGGTAACTGCTTATCGGGGCCCCGAGTCCAGGCATATGCCTTCTGTCCCTGAGGGCCGGGGTGGGGGAGGGGGCAAGCCAACCCAAGGGCTCGCTTCGACCACCGCTCCCCTTTCCCGTCCCTCACGCCTCATCTCTTCGGTCAGGAAGGGGGAAGCCGGCCGAAGCCCGCTTCGACCACTGTTCCTGACCAGATGAGGCGCCGCCAGTACATGTTGTGTGACTGACCCACCGTATCAGCCAGCCACCATACGTTTGGAGGGCTGGTTCGGGCACCGGGAGCCCCCACCCGGTGCCCCATCCTCCCGCCCGGCGGTTACGGGGGGAAGAAACTCCCCTAGCCGCCGGGCTCTTCCCACCTCCGCGGAGGAATGGAATGGGGGGTCCTAGCGACCCCCCTCCCGCATATCCGAATTACTTCGGATTGGCCTAAGCCGGGCCCTCCATCCGCTCCATCTCTCTCCCGTTGCTGCCGTAAGAGGGGCAGCAGGGGGTGGCGGTGGTAGTGTCCCCGCCATCGTCACCACGGGGGAGGGCGGTCAGCAACGCTGCCGCCATCATCAGGGGGGTCAGTCGTTGTAATACCACCATCGCCACACCCCTGTTTCCATCTGTCCTTTGCCTTTGGACTTTGTTGGGGGCATTAAGTCCCTCATGAGTCCTTCCCACTGGTACCGGAGGGGGAGCAGAAGGGGGAGTGGGGGGAGGAGGTGGTGGAGCCACCATCCTCCTAACGGCCTCCTCCTCAGAGGAGTCCGCGTCCCCCTCTCTGCTTCTGCTCCTCACTCCCCTCCATGCTCGTTGCCTCTCTCTCCTCTTTCTCTTTCTCCCTCGCCCTTCCGCCCTGCGGCGGACCTCCTCAGCCTCCTCCTTCTGCGTTATTATCGATTCACAGAAGGAAGAGAACACATTCCACTTCTTCTCACTCCCCACTATGGCCCCGACTATTGTGGGGAGCGAGAGGTCATTACCCAGTTCTCTGGTCACGACTCCGCGCTGCTCGCTCCAGGCGGGGCAATCCTGGAGCGTATGTTGCGCGGAGTCGTGATCGTTGTCACAGTGGTGGCAGCACGTTGTGCGCTCATTTCCGATTCGGCACAGGTACTCACCGAAACATCCGTGTCCGGTGAGCACCTGTGCCATCCTGAGCGACAGGGTCCCGAATGCCCTGCCCACTCTTGCAGGCAGGGCTGGATGGCCTCGACTGTCCTCCTCCCGTATCTGGCATTCGCCAGAATCCTTTGCCATTTCTGGAGGAGAACTAGTCGAGCCTGGTGCTTCATCTTCCTCAGTGCTCCGGCGAGCGATTCTCCCGCTCCCTTGCTTGCAGGAGCTCCCGCTTCCTGACATGTATGACATACATGTGTCTGTATGTCAGCGCGAGGAGCTCCAGGGGGGCATGCTGGCCAGAGCCTCCGCCGCTACGTAGGAGACCGTACGGTAGCATCTAACGACCCTGACCGCCAGCGTCCTGTGCACATTGCGCAGTTGCGCCTGCATCGGATGACTGACGGCCAGGGCCTCCGCCCATACGGGCGCTCCGTACAACGCCACGGAATTTAGCACTCCTGCGTGTAGGCGGCGGGCCTTTCCGTCCGGTCCCCAGACATTGGGTATAAGTCTGCCCAATCTATTAGACACTGCTCTTAGTCGGGGGACCAGACGATTGATATGCCCCCTGAAGCACCAGGTTCCGTCCAAAATGAGGGCCAGATAATTCATCTGGGCCTTTATCAGGACCCTGGTCGTTCCCACCTTTATCTGAGCCTGGGGTGGCTTTCTACCCTTGTCGTGGAAGAAGATCGCCTCGGTTTTCTTCTCCGTCACCACCAGGCCCAGATTACGAATGGCGCGCACAACGCCTGCCACCGCTTGGTTGGCCGTCACCACGGCTTCCCCCCAGTCTTTCCCCCCGGCCAAGATGAGAGTGTCATCTGCGTAGCAGATAATGCTACAGTCGGGGGGGGAGGGCTACTCGGAGGACTAAGTTGTATCCGAGGTTCCACAGTAGCGGGCCCAACACTGAGCCCTGTGGAACCCCGCAACTCATCCCCCTCTCGCGTACCTTGCCGTCGGCGTCCATCCAACTTAGAAGCCGACCCCGGAAGTAATCCTCCACGACGGCCGTGAGGTAGGGTGGGAAGCAGAAATACTTCTGCATGGCTTTCACCACCTCACCCCAGGGCAGGGTGTTGAATGCGTTGGCGATATCCAAGGATACCGCCACCGCCACCCTGCCCTCCATCACTATGGCCTCCGAGAGGGCTTTCAGATATAATATAGCATCCACTGTGGATCTGCCCTCTCGGAAGCCGTATTTGCCGTCGTGAAGACTCGGTCCCTTCCGGGACATATGCTCCGTGAGGCGGGCAGCTATAACACGCTCGAAGAGCTTGCCCGCCTCATCCAGGAGGCATATGGGCCGGTACGCGGAGGGGGAGTCCTCCGGTTTGCCCTCTTTTCGGAGGAGGACCACATTGGCCTTCCCCCAGACTGGGGGGAACCTACCTTTCCTTAGTGCCTGTGAGAACAGGTCCGCAAATCTTTGGTTCATGAACCCCGAGGCTAGGGTAAAAACCCGGCCGGGAATACCATACGGTCCCGGAGCCTTACGGCTCTTGACCTTTTTGATAGCCCCGGCCACCTCCTCCTCTGTGACCCCCGGCACCTCCCCCTGTTGATCAGGGGTGGGAGCAATATACGGGCCAATGGGGTCTTCTCTCCCACCGGGAAGAGTGACCCCATGACCCGCTCCAGGAACCGGAGGTCAAGCGTCACCGTCAACGGGGGCGTCCATGGCTTGAGTTTTTGCATAACTATCCTGTATGGACGCCCCCACGGATCCGCATCCAGTGAGAGGAGGAGGGTGTCCCACCCTTTTCCTCTGGCCGCCCCTATGGCCTCTCTCAGGGCCTTTGCTGCTATGCAGAAGTCTTTCCGGGCGGCCAAAACAGCCTCGAGGGTCCGAACCCGGGTCATTCCTGACCCGCCTGAAGGCCCTCCTGAGGTGGACCGACTCACGCTTCAGGTCTGCGATTTGGTCGGTCCACCACCAGGCGGACCTTTTTGGGCAGGACCTGACCCTGGGCATGGAGGCATCGCACGCCTGTGCGAGTATGCTCATTACCTCCATGACCTCAGAGTCAAGGTCCTGCCCTTCCCTCCATTGTGGCCAGGTGGAGCCCTCTAGGGAGATTTCCAGGGCCTCCCTATCCAATTAGGCTAAGGCCCATCTCCCTGGTCGGGGTTCATCTTTTTGATCCTTTTTACTGGGCCGCAGGCTATTGGGGGTGACGGACAGCTCCATCTCTATCAGGAGATGGTCCAACAACGTCTCCAGTTCGTCCGTCACCCTCCAGGTCTGCACCCTTCCCAGGGCCGCAGGGGTTGCCCACGATAAATCAATAATTGATTCCCCCTGCGACCCCACGAATGTGGACTTCTTGCCCTTGTTTAAAAGGTGCAGACCCAGGCCCGCGGCCCAGTTTTCGACCTCCTCCCCCCGCCCGTCACCCCGCCGGGAACCCCACAGTTCCGACTTCGCATTGAAGTCCCCGGCGACGATGACGGGCTCTGGGAGGTACCTTTTGATGGTCCCTCCCATATCTTGTACCCTGGATCTAAATGTAAACAGATTCAGGCTCTTTGCTGGGGGGAGGTATACCCCGACCACAGTGATAACGCCCCACCTGGCTACAACAAAACCTTTCCCGCTATCCAAAAAAGTAGCGGGAGGTGAGTTTTCACTCGCCCTCCATACTACCGCGACAGAGCCCAACTTATCTCCGAACCACCTAGGGTGGTTCTTTGGGACATGGTTGGGCTCTGCCGCTATGCCCAAACCTGCATCGCGCTCTGTCATTGTATGCTCAAACAAAGGCTGAGCCTGACGAGCGCGGTGCAGGTTCGATTGAAGCAGTCGGGTGGCCATTATTCAACTGTTGGGTTGACAATTACCTTCCCACCCGGCTGCTCCCTTTCGTCACTCTCGTTTTCTTCTTTTGGGCGAGGACGCTTCTCTCCTCTTCTGTCCACGTCCATCTCCTCCACCTTTTCCAACTTGTCTTCAGAGGGGACGATTGGGCATGCTGAAGAAGATGGGGTTACCATCCCCTTTACTACACCCTTCTCCTGCCTTTTTTTCTCCGCTTTCTCTTCTAGGAGAGCAGGGGGCGTGGGTGGCCTCGGTGCGGAAGTCTGCCCCATCTCCTCCTGCTTCCCCTTAGTCTTCTTTTCTTAGGGGAGTGACATGCAGGTCCCCCCATCCTGTGACCCGCTGAGATCCCTGCCTCTGCGCAAATTTGACACCTTACTCTCTTTTCGCAATCGCGAGCCAGGTGTCCATATTCTCCGCATCTATAACAGTTTCCTCTCCGACTTGTTTCATTTGTGCAGTTGTATTGCACGTGTCCTTTCTCCATGCATCTGTAACATTGCATCGGTCTTGCCATCAGCAACTCCACTTTTACCTGCGTCCATCCTATAGCGATGACTCCTTTTTCGGCAGCTTTCTTTGCCGCTAAAAGGGGGCATTGCATCCATAAGGATCGAACCCCTCCTTGTGTGGTTCTTATTTTCCCTGCCTTTGTGTCTGCTATTTCGCATTCACCAATCTCTGCTATTTTCCTTCTAGCTTCTTCTTCGTCTGTTGAGATCTCCAGTCCCCTTAGACGAATTTCTCCCATTTTCTGGGGGCGATTTATCTTTGCCTTATCAGCCAGAACATCCCTCAGTTTTTCTGCCAATGTATCGGCATTGGCTCCCCTGTCCTCCCCTGGTATCTCCAGAATCAGTGCACCTGTTGCACCAATTCGGGTTTTAATTTTTAGGATCCCCAGGTCGTCAAGATCAATTTTTCTTTTTGCCTCCGCCAGGAGTTTTCTGTACTGCCCCTTGTCAGCGGTGATTGATACCGCGGCAGTACTGGGAATCTTCCTTTTTATTTTAGCTCCTCCTACTCCATTGTTGATTCCTTTTCTTGCCTCTTTCTTGATCCTCCTTTCCTGTTCTTCCTTCTTTTCTGCTCTTTTCCCCCTCCTTCCAACTACTTGGGCCCAAGTTTCCTGGGTGGTTGACATATCCGTTTCCTGTTCTGTCATTTTCATAGTCGGGTGTTCAGTCCTCTGAGGTAGCGGTGTCTGCATTTCTGCTGACCTATTCTTACTCCCCAGAGCTTGTTTTGTTGACTGATCCCTTGTTATTTTTCCACTCCCTTTCTTTTTCTTCTTTCCTTTGCTTGGATTTCCTTCCGGCCCCCGTTTTGGTGGTATGTTATCTTGTCTTGCATATTCATTCATGGCTTTAAGTACCATGGCGGTGATTTTTCCTTCCAAGTTCTCCTCTTCCCTTCTTTCCGGTCTTTCTTTTCTTTCTAGCCTCGCTTTTGTATTAAGGATAATGTTTTCCTCAATTTTGGGGCCCTCTTTCTTTTCTTTTGCGACCCTGTTTTCTTCCTTAATGGGGTGTATTTTATTAGTCCTTATGAGGCCCTTTTGGACTTCAATTACCCCTATTGTCTTTTCCTCTTCTTCTTCTAGATCTGCCAATGGGGGCGAGATCCTTCCTCTTGCATAACTTTCTCCTATTTCCATTTCCTCAACATTGGTTGGAGGCGGGGGGATCACCGCTGCAGGCAGCGGTGTCCCCCTTAAACTCCAACCACTGTTTCCTTGGTACTCCGGAGGCGGGGAGGACACCATCGTTGTCGGCGGTGCTTCCCTTATACTTCGTAGAGTACATCTCATTTCCTCCATTTCTTTCCTCATTTCCTCCATTTCAGTTTTTAATTTTTTGTTTTCATTTTTCAGCTCCTCTATTATGTCCAGGTATTCTCCCCTCTTTTCACTGGCTATTTTCTTAGACATTATGTTTGCCCCTGCTGTTATTGCAGCAGATGCATCCCTGAGCGTTTTGACATGTGTCCCCTTTAAGTTCTTAGATTTTACAGAGAACCCTAAGATCTTCATTGATGCTTCCAACACCGATGCAGTTACATCTCTGAAGGGGGCTTCCTCCCAGTGCTCCGTTAATCTCGCAAGTTCTGCTTTATACTTGCGATCTTGTGAGCAGTCCCGGAATTCTTCGGATGGATTTTGCAAGGCCTTCATGAGCTTATCCTCTTTTACCTTTTCCAGGTATATTTCTCTTTTTGCCATGAATTCCTTTTTCTTCCTATACTCTCCTGTCGTTTCCCTCCTTCCTCTTCCACGAGTTACTTTTTTAAGAAAAGTTCCTCGTCCGTTTCCCCGTTTTCTTTTCTGGGAATATCCCATTTCCCTTCCTTTTCTACCTTCTTTTCTTGCTGTCCATCCGTTGATCCATAATCTGATGAGGACCCATCTCTCTCCATGGAGGATCTTGATCGTGATCTTGATCTTGGATCATCTGCTCCTTTGTCGCGCTGAGACCTGGCGCTTCGGAGGCCTTCCCTTCTGACCACCCGGCTGATGCCAGGCTGGTCTTCTGAGGCAACATTCGTTGCCTTCACTTTCCTGAAGCTACGGAGAGCTACCACCTTGCTCATATCCTTTTTCGATGCCTGGGTCGTCTTAATGTATTCCGTGTCCGATGGGTCCATGTATGAAGAAGAAGAATCAGTAGTCATTTTTGGTTTCAAACCCACAACCCTGCACGGTTCCGATGCCCGGGCATGCCTGCGTTCCCCCGGGAAGGGGGAGCCTCCGAGTTCCCCCAGAGGAGCACCATATGGCTCGGGCCGACGGAATGTTACATCGTCGGCACTGGCCTCCCGCCCCCTACACGCGCCCTGACCACCATTTCTGGTGGCCAGACCGCTTTCGGGGGTCCCGCACCTCCGACAATGCGGGTACCGTGCAGAGCGCCGCCACGCGGGGGGCTCCATGGAAGGAGGTAGTTCACTGGTGTCGTACCCCATCGGGAACGCCTCCCCCATGGCAGCCAGTGTGCTCGTGCCGCCCGAGGGTCCGCTTTAGGGTGATGCGATCGCATTCTCTCGGGCACAGCACATAGGGGCTCCGGCCCTGCCTCGGAATACGTCCGAGCGGCCCGGAGCACCCCTCCACCCCCCGGGTACCGTGAGGGGTTCCAAACCCTAACGGTGTGCAGACCCGGGTGTGGGTATCTCCCTCCGCCCGGCCGTGGCCGGGACGGATGAGGGAGAGGATCACTCCCTTTGGCTGCCGGAGCACCGGCGTGCAATGCCTCCAGGAGTGAGTCCTCTAGATGGCGCATGAGGGTGTCCCGACCCCGACCTCGGAATATGTCCGAGCGGTCCGGAACACCCCTCCATCCCCCAGGTACCATGGGGCAAGCCCCATGGTGTGCAGACCCGGGTGTGGGTTCCTCTGTCCGTCCGGCCGAAGCCAGACGGGTGAGGGAAGTCGGGGAGATCCACTCTCTACGAAGGTGGAGTCCTCTCCTCTCATCACCCTAGGGTGCCCCGACCCCGACCTCGGAATAAGTCCGAGCGGCCCGGGACACCCCTCCACCCCCCAGGTACCATGGGAATTATCCCATGGTGTGCAGACCCGGGTGTGGGATCCTCCATCCGCACAGTCAAGACTGTGACAGATGAGGGGAGGAGGTCCTCTCTCCCTTCGGCTGCCGGAACACCGGCGTGCAATGCCTCAGAGAGAGGGGTCCTCCTAGGACGTCTCAAAGGTACTCCGACCCCGACCTCGGAAACGTACGAGCGGCTCGAAATAACCCGCTACCCAGGCTCATGGGGGGAGGATCCCCATGGGGTGGAGCCCTGAGTGCGGGTACGTCCCTCCCGGTCTAACCATAACTGTCCAACCGAGGTAGGAGGAAAGGGTTCTCTCTCTTCGGCTGCCGGAGCACCGGCGTGCAATGCCTCGGAGAGAGAGGTCCCCTACCTAGAGCGGATGTAGAGGAGGCCATCCCTGTCGGCTGCCGGAGCACCGGCGTGCAATGTCTTCAGGGATGGTGATCTCCTCCCACCCGCTCTGTGACCGTTCTGGTCAAGAACCAGTCTGGCCACTCAGCCCGGTCAGGTGCTCTTGGTCCAGTCCCTCAGTACAGACCACTCCGGCATGGTACAACCTGCCAGGGGCCGAAACCCCCGCCGGCACAGCTCTGTACATTATTGGGACCTTCAAGCCTCCCCACCACGTCAAGGTGGCACCCACGGGAAGGGGGGGAGTGGGCCCGCCCCAAAACGGGCACCATTCCCCGAATAACTTTTGTCCAAAACAATTTTTTATTTGTCTAATATTTTTTGAGATATTTGAGGAAAACGTGATTTTTCAATACTTAACTTACGATATTTCGCTAATTATACAGGTCTGCATGATTTTGCGTTTTGAATTTCAATGGTCATTTCCTACGTAATTTTGTCCACTGAACACGAATCCGGTCTTAGAATTTTTCTATCACATCAGGTTTTAGAGATAATTAGGTTTAAATAGCTAAAAAATGCTGTTTTTCACAATATTCAACCGATTACACAGGTCTGTATGATTTTGTGTTTTGTTGTGGATGTCAAAGGTCATTTCCTACGTAATTTTGTCCGCTGAATACGAATCTGGCCTTAGAATTTTTCTATCATGTCAGGTTTTCGAGATAATTATAACTTAAAAATTAAAAAAATTAAAACCAATAAAATGAAAGAAAATATAATACTTTATTGTACATAGTAAGACAAAAATGAAAATAAAAAGATAGGATTCTTTGGGAGTTATTTTTATAATATTATACACCAACTAACATCATTGTTAACATGATGAAAATTTTTTAGGAAATTATGACAATAGGCTTTTGATAATTCTGAACTACTTGCGTAATTAACACTATTTCACTGATAAGAACTTCACAGAACTGACGTGAAATTAATGCAGTATTATGTTTGTAACACTATGCTGCAATAATAACTTCATATATCCTGTTCCTCTTTATTATAACATATCATTTAAAGTGTGTAGAGTATTAACATATTTCATTTGTTCTCTTTAATACATACATATTTTTTTAATAAAATGTCTTCGCGAAAATGTAAAACCGATCCTGATAAATTTTGCTACATCTGTAGTGAATACGTTTCACAAAAACAAAAAGTTCCTATAACTCAAAATATCAAAACATGTTATTTTCAATATTTTAATATTGAAATAAAAAATCTTCCATAAACCATGGGTTCCTCATACAATTTGTATAACTTGCTATCAAGGATTGAGATATTGGTTGAAAGGAAAACGAAGTGGCATGCGATTTGGTATTCCAATGATTTGGCGTGAACCAACTGATCATATAACTAGCTGTTACTTTTGCTCATGCCAAATCATAAGCTATAATGCTCGCAATAAGAAAAACATCTCTTATACAACACTTTCATGCGCTACAAGATCTGTTTTTCATGGACTTGATATTCCTATTCTTTCTCTACTAATGAACCCTTCTTTACCATCTTTAGACAACGACAATCCTGTTGATGAAAACAATGTAGATTTTGAAACTTATGAAATCGATCCGCTTGATGACAATAGTCCAAAGCTTTTCAATTAGTCTGCTTTAAATGATCTTGTAAGAGATTTAGGTCTATTTAAAGAAAGTGTAGAGTTACTGGGATCCAGATTGAAAGAAAGACATTTGTTAGAATCAGAAACAACGTTTCCTTGGTACAGACATCGTGAAAAGGAATTTATTCCTTTTTTTTTCTATGGTAGATTCATTAGTTTTCTGCAACAATATACTAGGGCGGTCCGATAAGTACTTAGCCTCACCGCCCGATGGCGCCACTATCGCAAGAGAAATTTACTATCGTGTAGTACATTCTCGTAGACGGCTACTGTCGAAATTTCAGCCGAATCGGATTCGTAGTTTTGTTTTGACCGCGTGTGGAAGCAGGCGTGTCGGCGGATTTTAGAAAAATGGAAAAAGAGCAATATCGGTCGGTGATTCGATTCTTGTTTTTGGAAGGGAAATCGCGCAGTGAAATGAAAGAGCGCTTGGATGCTGTGTACGGTGACTCTTCTCCTTCGATGGCGACCGTCAAAAATTGGTTTAACGAGTTTCAACGTGGTCGCACGTCGGTTTTTGATGAGCCACGCCCAGGTCTCCCGAAAACGGCTACCACGGAGGATAACATGACAAAAATCCACGATCTCGTATTGGCAAACCGCCGATTGAAGGTGCGCGAGATAGCTGAGACAGTAGGCATCTCAAAAGACCGCGTGGGTCATATCCTGCATGAAATTTTGGGCATAAGAAAGCTGTCGGCGCGATGGGTGCCGCGTTTGCTCACTCCGGACAACAAGCGCAACCGTGAGACCACTTCAGAGCAGTGTTTGACGCTGTTTAAGTGCAATCCGAAGGAGTTTCTGCGTCGTTTCGTGACCGTCGACGAAACATGGATCCACTGGTACACACCAGAGACCAAGGAACAGTCGAAACAGTGGACTTCACCCGGCGAACGTGCTCCGAAGAAGGACGAAGAAGGGCGAAGACTGTCCTATCGGCTGGAAAGGTGATGGCCACCGTTTTCTGGGATTCACAAGATGTGATCTACATCGACTACCTGGAGAAGGGCAAAACGGTCACAGGGCTGTACTATACCGAATTATTGGGCCGATTCGACGCCGAATTGCAGAAAAAACGGCCCCATTTGGCGAAGAAAAAAGTGCTCTTCCACCATGATAACGCACCGGCTCACACCTCCGCCCTCGCCACGGTCAAATTGGTCGAATTGGGCTACGAACTGCTGCCCCATCCACCGTATTCTCCAGATTTGGCCCCGTGCGACTTCTTTCTGTTTCCAAACTTGAAAAAGTCACTCGCCGGGCAGAAATTTGAGTCGAATGAGGAGGTCATCGCCGCCACGGAGGCCTACTTTGCAGACCTCGAGGAAACGTATTTTTCAGACGGGTTAAAGAAGTTGGAGCATCGCTGGGTCAAGTGTATCGAGCTAAAAGGAGACTATGTTGAGAAATAAATCGCCACTTTTCCAAAATTTTCGTTTTTCTTTTGTAGGCTAAGTACTTATCGGACCACCCTCGTATCTGACTTGATGTATTTTTTGGGATTAAAGTCTTATAATGCTAATGAATGGAGACTTTCCATTGATTCCTCAAGACAAAGCTGTTCTCCTTTACAATGGGAGAATATATGCTGCGACGCGATTATCGCTCGCCGTCGGCAAACTGCCGTCGGTCCGCGCGTCTCGGCCAACCTAGCTCTCACAAAATCAGTTGGGCGCCAGGTGCAGCGGGCTGCACCGTTCACCAACGCTACGCGACACCTCACCAAAGGGCCGAGACACGCGAAGTCGACGGGACCGGTAGCCCTTCGATATTTAAGTCGGTAGACGGGAAGGGTTCGTTGGAAGTCGGGAACGACCGGGAAAACACAAAAATAACGAGGCGCGTTTCGACTATCTTTAGCTTTATTATTTCGGGAATCGGAACGGTCCGACCCCCTCGATACGATACACTCCGCTTGGGCTCTCGCGAATTCGAGATTGCCCGCTACGCCGATAACTTTGACGAGACTTTTTACTCTCACGACACCGAAACGATAATGCAGGTGGAAGGTCTTACACAATCGGGAACCTCCCGGCGACGTGGTCCTCCTCTCGTCTCCCTCTCACGCTCGCTCTGGCACACGCTGCCACTGACGTCTCCTCCGCTTGCTGACGCCAAAAACTTCACACTAAATCCCTCGCTTGTATTTCCCTTTTTCGGTAGCCGATCTCTCTCCGGTACGATATGGAAGCAGGTCGGCGATATTCGAGAGCGACAATAGGAGTCTCCTCTTTTTATCTCCTTCTCCCCTGACAGACTTTCTTGTCCGTTGGTGTTGTCTCGTGCTACCCGTCTCTCCCCGTTCCTCGGTAAATCTCCCTATACGGGAATCCTTCCGCGGATCTTTGTTTTTCGATCCGCGGGACGGGTGCTCGGTCTCACTCTCTTGCTCACTCTCTCTCTCTCTTGCTCACACTCGCCCGATCTCAGTGTTCAGGCTGGCTTTGTTTAGCCGGCGTTCATGCGCCAAGCACGGGAACGCCGACCGTTCAGCGCGTATCCTTGCAGGCCTGTGGACAACGGAAGCGACAGCGAGAACCTTTCACGACGATACGAAACCGATACTAGCATTATTAAAGGAGTGCATTCACCTGGGGTGGCGGTCTTGCCGAGGGGGTGTCATCCTCTTCCTTCCTCCACCGATCCCTCCTCTCCTGATGTGCGGCGCAGGAGGTCCAGGGGCACAGAGCTCGGGGACGCGGGACCGTTCCACCTGCGCGCTCCGACTACTAACACTAATTATTACGGGGGAGAGCGCAAGGCGACACCCCCCCCCCCCCGAGAGCCTCGCCTAGGGGCCGAAAGGTCGGCCTGTGACGGGCGCCTTTCCGGCTGCCACGTCACAATGCATCTATTCACTCAGTTAATTTAAAAGAAACTTATGAAAACTTAAAAACACTGTTGGGATATATTAACTATGAACAACACAATTGGTTAATTTGCGATGATTTGAAAATTTTATGTATGCTTCTAGGACAGCAATAAGGTTTCAATAAATTCCCATGTTTTCTTTGCGAATGGGATAGTAGAGAATGAAGAATGGGAGAGCCAGAGAACTTCATTGGACCGAAAAAATGGAAAGTAAGAAAAAGCTTGGAACCTGGCGTGAAAAATATAATAAATGAAACGTCAGTTGATCCTACTAAAATTTGGTTACCTACGTTGCACATAAAATTAGGTCTAATGAAGCAATTCGTGAAGGCCCTGCATAAGAAAGGAAATTATTTTAAATACCTCTGTACAAAGTTTCCTCATCTCAGTGATGCAAGGATTAAGGAAGGCATTTTGATTGGGCCTCAAATTATTGGATGTACAAATGAATAATCCAGATTATTTTAAGCAGTTATGAAATCAATTTTAAATTGAATAGATTTTCCCGCTCTTTTGTGATTATGCAATGTTGACACAGCTATTAAAAAGAACATATCAGATGTAGTAAATAGAAATCCATTATTTTTGCATGAAATTGAAGGCTTTAATTACCATAGTCAGAATGATCCGATTTAGAGCAAATATGCGCCGTTTTGTTCGATAACTTGTTGCCATTTTGAAGGTAATTTCATTATGCCTCTCTCATAGAAGCCCTCGTCTCTATTGGCAAAAAACAGTCGATTTTCACAAGCTTCTTTTGAAGCGAATTTTTCACCAGCAAAATTGTTCGCCATGGACAGGAACAGATGGTAATCACTTGGTGCCAGGTCCGGACTATAAGGTGGATGCATAAGAACCTCCCAACCAAGCTCCCGGAGCTTCTGGCGAGTCACTATCGATGTGTGTAGCCTGGCGTTGTCCTGATGGAACACAATTCCTCTCCTATTGGTCAAAGCTGGCCGCTTTTGGGCGATTGCTTCCTTCAGACGGTCCAATTGTTGACAGTACAGTTCCGAGTTAAGAGTTTTGCCGTAGGGGAGCAGCTGATAATAGATAATTCCCTGCCAGTCCCACCAAACACACAGCAAAACTTTCTTGGCCGTCAATCCTGGCTTGGCTACCGTTTCCGCCGGCTCACCGCGATTCGACCACGACCGTTTTCGCTTGACGTTGTCGTAAGTGATCCACTTTTCATCACCAGTGACCAACCGCTTCAGAAATGGGTCGATTTTGTTGCGATTCAGCAGCGATTCGCAGATGGAAATTCGGTCCATGAGGTTTTTTTTTGTTAACTCGTGTGGTACCCATACATCGAGCTTCTTTTTGTATCCAGCCTTATTCAAATGGTTCCAAACGGTTTTTTGTGCAATCTTTAGCTCTTGGGCAATCGAAACAGTGCTTACATGACGGTCGGACTCCACAATGTCCATGATTTTATCGATATCTTCGACAATTGGCCTTCCAGTGCGTGGTGCATCTTTGATATCGAAATTACCGGAACGGAATCGACGAAACCAAAATTGCGCGTGATTAGCTGTTACAGTATCAGGACCATAAACACTATTCACATTTTCAGCCGCCTGACTTGCGTTTTCGCCTTTATCGAAGAAAAACTATAAAATATAGCGTATTTTCTCTTTGCTAGTGTCCATCTTTGACGCGCGCTCAAATAAAACTGAGTCAACTAATCACAAAACTGTCACAAAAGTTTTTTTAGTACGAAATCTCATCTTTCTAACGCCATCTAGTGGAACCCGATCGGACTTATACAACGCGAGATACAGATAACTAAAGCCATCTATTGGAAAAATAATGGATTTCTTTTTACTACACCTAATATAATTTGGCGAAAAGCCCAACATAACCTTCAAAAGTATTCAGTTCAGTACTGTCGAAAATGGCAACAGATAAGGTGCATATCCGACACTGCATTCTTTACGAATTCCAACAAGGAAAAAATGCTGCAAGAGCGTGCGAATTGATTTGTTCCTTTCTCGGTGAAGGTGTTGTATCGTATGATGTGTTCACATTTTGGTTTAAGCGGTTTAAAAGTAGTAATTTCAGTCTAATCGACAAACAACGCCCTGGAGACCCTGCGAAGTGCGATAATGATGATTTGGAACAACTGCTCGCTGAGAATTCGGCACAAACACAAAAAGAGCTTGCAGAACAGTTGGGAGTTACGCAGCAAACGATTTCCAAACGCCTACATAAGATGGGAAAGATCCAGAAAGAAGGAAAATGGATTCCGCATGAACTCACTGAAACCAACAAAAATCAACGAGTGGCAGCGTGTCTTTCTCTTCTCAATAAGCAGCGTCGAAAGTCTTTCTTGTGGAAAATCGTTACGGGCGATGAGAAATGGATACTCTATGACAATTCGAAACGCAGAAAGTCATGGGTAAATTCCGGCGAATCATCAAAATCGGTCGCAAAACCCAATCGCTTCGGAAAGAAGGTTCTTCTCTACATTTGGTGGGATATCAAGGGCTTTATTATGAGTTGTTGGAACCGGGTGAAACAGTTACTGCGGACTGCTACCAGCGTCAATTAATCTGCTTGAGTCAAGAATTGGAACGAAAACGCTCGTATACTGGCAAAGGAGAACGTCCAGTGAAATTGTTGCATGACAACGCCAGGCCACACATTGCTTCCAATATAAAAGACATCATAATGAGTCTTGGCTGGGACGTTTTGCAGCACCCGGCGTGTTCACCAGACATTGCTCCATCCGATTATCACTTGTTCCGGTCGATGCAACACGCCTTGTCCGATATGCACTTCCAATCAGTGGATGAGATCCGAAAATGGCTTGACGACTTTATCGTGTCCAAAGACGTAACGTTTTACCGAGATGGAATTCATCAGCTGCCTGAAAGATGGCTTAAAGTTATAGCAAGTTATAGCTTAAAGAAAGCAACGGCGAATATTTTGATTGAACAATTTAATTTACTTTCTTTTAAAATAAACCTTGAATGTAGCTGAAGAAATTGGATTATTTTGTACATCTAATAGATTACTTACTAACGACGAGAAATTTGAAAAAAATAGTGACTTGTTTAGAAAGAGAAGTTTTGGTTTCATTGAATAAAGTGATTCTGGGTTTCTTGGGAAACAAAAAAGGTTCTAACTATGCAGAATCGGTGAGTGTGGGGTCTTGTATCCCTACAATTAAGTGATGAAGAGTACAGTCTTTTTACTATATAGGTTTCTTTATTTTATCTATGTACGCTATATACAAAATCGCTCGCAATAAGCGATGTGCGGCTCCGTTATTGTCACGCGGATTGGCCCGTTGCGTGGTGGCTCCGGCGTATCCTCCTTGCTGCTGTCTTCACTCCAATGTGGGGTATCCCCTGGAGGTGTTCTTGGTGATGTGCCTCTATGTACCCGGGCCGGAGAAGTCGTCTGCGTAGCGGCGTTTGCAACTTTACGTCCCCACAGGCTAGGTGGCAAACCTCGTAGTCTGGGGTAGGATTGTCGCCGCTTGAGACGTTGGTCTCCCGTGATAAGATAGTGCGCCGGTGGACGTGTGAGCGCTCGCTCCGGTAGGCTGATCGGTCGTTGTCTCCAGGTCCGAAGAGTGACCTCACTGCGTCGCTCTGGATAGTCTCCTCCGGGGCTAGCCAGTGTCTCTGTAGAGACGTGGCTACGCCGAGGCAATGCTGCGACGACGGTTGGCTCAGCGGCTACTACCGTTGTAGCGCAGGTCGCCGCTGCGGGCGCTTTGGCCGCTGTACGTTTTGCCGCCTCGGGGGCTCCGACTTTCGTTACTGCTGGACTGCCATGCGGGTGCTTAACCGATCGTTGCGGTTCTGTCGTACGCTGTGGTCCAGGTAACGGCGGTGCGGCGATTGACCGGGGTGACCACCCTGTAACAGCTTTGCGGAGTGGAGTGGCCGGCGGCAAAGGCCGGGTACGCTTCCGCAACATATGCTCTAAAAATAGCTTACTCTTCTTGCGAAGGCAAAGCTGACGTGTTCGCTAAAATTTTCCAACGGTCTCCTCGAGAGTATCCCTCGAGCGCTGGAAAAGGATTAGTGGTCCTGCTTGCCGTCGTGCTCCTTTTATCGTTGTCCTTTCGGATTATTGTACTCGCGAAGCGTGTCTTCGTCCAACACTTATCGTCTAACTCTTGCGGTACGCGAGCTAATCACGCGCAATGTGCGTGCGACGCGGTAGATTCGCGTGCCGTGGCGCGTGTCGGGGTGCGTGTTATCATGCGCGTCTGCCGTGCGTATCCTGCAGGACCGCAGTGCTTACTTTGCGGCTCAGGGCCGCGTGGCGGTATGTCGCCACATCACCCTTTTCATTGTTTATTGGCCGTGCTATTGAATCGTACTGGAGGTCGTGTTAGGCGTCCGCTTCTCGTGCATAGTTCCTTTGTTGTTGCTTCTGCCGGGGATTCCGCTGTGGGGCCGTGTTCCTTCATCCCATGTGCTGGTTTGACACGGTCTATGCTGACGTTTACGTTCCGTCCTTTGACTCTTACTTTGTACACTTTCGACGTCCGGTTAATAACTTCGTATGGTCCACTATACGTAGGTTGTAGTGTACGTGTTGGCATGTCTTGTTGTATGAAGACGTGCGAAGCTGTAGGCAGATCCTTATGTATAATAAATGTGCTAGCTTCTCCATGCCATATAACTCGTTGTGGTTGAAGGTCTCGCATGGCCCTGTGAAGAGTTCGTAGGAGCTCTTTTTCACCTTCCTTGTGCTTTGTCTTCTGTAAGAACTCTCCTGGTAGTCACAATGTTTCCCCGTATACCATCTCTGCTGCTGTTGCCTTCAAGTCATCCTTGACTGCCGTTCGTATCCCTAGTAGTACTATCGGTAATACGTCTGTTCAGGCTTCTATCTGGTAGCAAATGTGGCCGTTTTTAATTGCCGGGGCAATCGTTCCACCATCCCATTCGCTGCTGGGTGGTATGCCGTGATGCGCCATCTCTATACTCCGCACATTTGAGCGATTTGTTGAAACAACTCCGCTTCAAATTATCGTCCTTGGTCTGTTGTAATTCTCCGGGGAGTCCCGAAGCGTGCCACCCAGTTTGCGAAGAATGCTCGTGCGGTTGTTTCTACTGTAATGTCTGGATACGAGATTGCCTCTGGCCAGCGTGTTGCCCGGTCGACCATTGTGAAACAGTACCGATATCCTTGTGATACTGGCAGCGGACCGACCAAGTCGAGGTGTACATGTTCGAATCTGTTAGATGGCGGAAAGTTCCCTATCGGTGTGCGAGTGTGCCTCGTAATCTTTGTCTTTTGACACTCTATATATGCTTGTGTCCATCTTCTGCAATCTGTTTTTATCTTTGGCCAAACAAACCTTTCTGCTACTAACTTGGCGGTGGCCTTCACTCCTGGGTGTGATAATGTGTAGAGAGCGAAAGACTTGATGTCTCAGTTCTTTCGTTACAAATGGTCTGGCCCTGGAGGTAGTTGTATCACAGTAGACTGTTGTATTAGTTCCGGGTATTGGTATTGCCTCTAGTTTAAGTGCCGTTTTACCTTCTAGATACTTCGCTAACTCCTCGTCTTCTGCTTGTGCCTTGGCAAGTTTCTCCATGCTTACTGCCTTCTGAATACTTTGTACCCTGGATAATGTATCGGCGACTATGTTGTTTTTTCCCGCAATGTGCTGTATGTCCGTGATAAATTGCCCGATGTATTCTAAGTGTCTAGCCTGTCTTAGTGAACTGCGCAATAGATCCTGTCTAAATGCGTATGTTAACGGCTTGTGGTCCGTGTATATCGTGAATATTCTTCCTTCCAGCATGCGTTGATAGTACTTTATAGCGTCGTATACCGCGAGTAGCTCGCGGTCATACGGGCTATACTTTGCCTGCGCCATGTTGAATTTTTTGCAAAGAAGGCTAAGGGCTGCCATTCTCCCTTTATTAGCTGCTGAATCACCGCTCCCACTGCCGTGTCAGAGGCATCCATAGTAAGAGACAGACTTGCTCCTGGGTCTGGATGTGCTAGGAGTGTTGCTCTTGCCAGACTTTCTTTACACCGTGCGAAAGCTTCCTCCAGTTCTGTTGTCCATACTACCGGTGCCTTGCCTTTGTTTTTGGGGCCTCCTATGATTGTATTTAAGTGCTTCTGATCGTAGGCTGCTGCCGATATAAATCTTCAGTAAAAATTTAGCATCCCCAAAAATTGCCGCAGCTGTTTGATTGTTGTCGGCCGTGGGAACTCCTTGATTGCTTCTATACGGTCTCGGCGTGCCTCCGTTCCTTTTTCCGAGATGACATATCCTAAGAAACGTACTCTATCTGCTTGAAAGACACATTTTGCTGGGTTGACCAGTACTCCATATCCTTGTAGTCGTGTGAGCAAGATCCTCAAGTGTTCTTTGTGCTCGTCTTCCGTGCCTGAGGCTACCAAGATGTCATCTATGTATGCGTAACAAAATTCCAATCCCTGAGTCACCTCGTTGATGAATCTCTGGAATGTTTCTGCCGCGTTGCGTAGGCCGAAGGACATTCTCTTAAATTCATATAGTCCAAACGGTGTGGTAACCGCTGTTTTAGCTACGTCGTTCTCGTATACCGGAATTTGGTTATAAGCGCGGACAAGATCGATCGTGGAATATACCCTCTTTCCATGAAGAGAACTTGCGAAATCTTCTATGTGCGAAATAGGGCACGGTGCGTGCGTTTAATCGCCGATAATCTCCGCACGGGCGCTGTCGTCGAGAATGTCAATAAAATTATGGAAATGATCGAAGTAGACCGGCATGTTGGCAGTCGTAGTATCGCCCAGAAGCTGAAGATCGACCACAAAACAGTTTTAAACCATTTGCATGAAGCTGGATTAAAAAAAAAGCTCGATGTTTGGGTGCCACACAAATTGACGCAAAAAAACATGATGGACCGAATTTCAATCTGCGAAGCCTTGACCAAACGGAACGAAATCGAGCCATTTCTGAAACGGATAGTGACTGGGGATGAGAAATGGATTACATACGACAATATTGTGCGAAAACGATCATGGTCAAAGCGCAGCGAAACGGCTCAAACGGTGGCCAAACCAGGATTAACGGCCAGGAAGGTTTTGCTGAGTGTTTGGTGGGACTATAAAGAAATCATCCACCATGAGCTACTTTCATATGGCCAAACACTAAATTCGGACCTCTATTGTCAACAATTGGACCGTTTGAAGCTAGCGATCGAGCAGAAGTGGCCAGAATTGGTCAATAGGAGAGGAATCGTTTTTCATCAGGACAATGCCAGGCCACATACGTTTATAGTGACTCGTCAGAAACTCCGGGAGCTTGGTTGGAAAGTTTTGATGCATCCACTTTATAGTCCGGACCTGGCATCGAGCGAATACCATCTGTCTTTGTCATTGCAAAACTTCTTTGGTGGTAAGAAATTGACCTCAAGAAAAGACTGTGAAAATCGCTTAGTCGAGTTTTTTGCAAATAAGGACCAGGGCTTCTATGAAAGAGGGATCATGACATTACCTTTAAAATGGCGACAAATTGTAGAACAAAACGGTGCTTATTTGACCAAAATCGAACAATCCTAACTATGTTAAATAAAGCCTTAAAATAAACGAAAACATAATGGATTTCTTTTTCCCCAACCTATCTCGGAAAATACGCATTTTAGAAAAAAATGTTTCATACAAAGTTAGTAGGGTTTTATAAGGCGCATTACGTGGCAATATTATTATGACCTTGAATGGCGTTGTCAAAGTCACGTGAAAGTCATTTTAAATTTATTAAATGTAACTCCCTATTTTTCATTACATATTCTTGTAGTTTATTTCGAGGACTTTCCAAGATACTATAATTAAATGTTTTTCTTTTGGTATTTTTCGAGTAACAAGATTTAAAAGTTGCAGTACCGCCAACATTAGCATTATCTAAGGTATACTGCGTGGAAGTTGCATGGTCGGTTATTGCGACTCCGCTTAAGAATGAACGAAGGTACAGGGATGCCGGAACACCCTTATCAGAAGGATCGGAGATAAGGGCAATACTAGATTCAGGTCTCGTACGGCCTATTCGGGTCGTAAATCCGAGCCGAGAAACCCGAGAAACACTCGTGACAGATACGTCCACGAGCGTAAGAATGGAACGACTTCCGTCGTTTCGGATGGCCTGCCCTTCCGGACTAAACGGCCTGCAATCTGCCACGTTCCCGAGAAGCGTGGAGATGCACACGAGAACGCGCTGAATTCGTGTCACGCGGGAGGCGACTAAGTTGTTCCTGGGCGACTAGCCAAGGTCTTGCGGATGCTTGGACCGAGTGTTCTCGAAGAAGCGACCACGTCGCTCTTGAACGCACCAAGATCCTAAACGGAACTTGGCAAGACAGAGATCGCAAAACTCCCAAGGAGACGGCAACGCCGTTCCTAACAGCCGAGGCCCTCGACGGACGCTCGTAAAAAGAGAGTCACCCGTTCCACACGGAGGCGATCGAGATCGCTCCTGACTCGTGGGAATGCAGCTAAGTCAGGCTGCGTTCCAATTCCCCACCCAGGTACACCCAGTCACCTAAAGACCGTTCAGATTCCTTCCGAGTGCTCCTAGCAAGCTCCTAGGGGATACGTTCAGATTGTCTCTTCATCCACTCGTGTGGGTGGAAAAGTCACACGGGTCCAAGAGCCGTGTGGATTAGGTGCTGATGACGTAGCAAGAAAGTGCGCGAAAAGAAGTAGCCGTCGGACGTCTATCTTATAATATCAACATACATAATCTGTTCTTTGTAACTGCACTCTTTGCATTAACGTGCATTAATTCTTTTCTCTTTGCACTTTAAGTCCTAAGACCTGCTTTTCTACAAGTGGAAAAAAACGTATAAGAAACAAAATGTCGAATTGTGAACGAATATTGGATATCAAAAGACATGAACTTATATTAGCGGACAAGAACGAACTGCCTTATGAATCTTTGCTGATTCGCGATAAAATCTGTAAGT